AAGGGGGTGCTTGTTTGGGGGGGCTGAGCAACGCTTTTAAACCCTCTGGAATGAGTTATTTCAATACCATTTCAGCCCAGAGACGGTATTAATTCGGTAGTATCGTTGTTAGGTTGGGGGGGGGGGGGGTTTAAGGCGAGACAACCCTTGAAGAGTCTCGTTCATCTTCTGACCCTGAAGTATTCACGGGATTTGGGTGCTCAGCGCATAAAGTCAAGCTCGTGCAAAAACGTTTGCGAGACCAGAGCCGACGTCTATTTTTAAAAAGTTCATCGTTTCCCTCCCATGTGTGGTTCTGTTTAAAAAATACCTCTGTGCGGTAATATCGAATCGTATCTATGGTTTGCAGTAACCGCAGCGTAGTAACTGCTGAGATTTTAATGATCCCCTCTGTATTGCTACTTAATCGCTTGCGTACAACACTTTACATCCTCAGAGTGTATCAGATATGAATGTATTAGTCTCATATTAACCTATCTTTATTTAGTGGTACGATCAATATAATATTCCTCGCTGCATGAGCTTGTTCTTTGATGATCTCTGCTCCATTTAAGCTTATAAGGCCTGAATTTCAACGATCCCGAGCGCCCACAGATTGCCTTGACTTTGGGCTCTTTATAATTTCTGGCAATCAGGCCCTCCTATATGGACTCTGCATAAGAGCTTGCATCTGAGACAAATCTTATCTTCAAACTCTCAGAAGTCTGTTTGAAAGAAATGGGAACTTTTCCATAGTTTAGAAGTTTACTTAAAGGTTTTGAGGGTTTTTTGTTCCCAAGTGCCTACTGAAAAAAGAGTACATGATTCGTTAAATTGCAAATATAAAGGGATGCAGTTACAAGAAGCCCTTCATCTATACTGCGTTGATCTTGTAGATATTTCTACCGTACAGATCATATGGATGGGGGAGCCTGTGCCCCCACCTGCATAGTAATATTTGTTCCTTTTGAAATACTCACTTTGCTGCAGAACGACATGTTTGAAAAGGCTGCTGGATTGATGAATGGGAAAAAAAATGTCAACATAGAGAAAGAACAGTATCTTAAATAATATGTATAGCTAGACTGTAATATCCATGTTAACGTTTTACTCCTACTGAGGTTTCTCAACATCATAGAAGTAATAAATTCTGCATAAACCTGAGAGGCGCATATAAAGAAACCTGTATTTTATGAAAATATAATACAGAATGCATAAAATTGGAGGAACCTCTGGATGTCCCAGGGCAAAGCTATATGGGAATCAGCAGACTTCTGTTGCATCTTGGTTAAATTCCAGTCTACAAGAGACGCTACTACCAGGGAAGCCATGGCATAAGGTAAAATGTTTATATTCATAGTTATTTAAACACATGCAATGCTTATGTAATAGTATGGATATCATCTCCTATTTTTTTTGTCATTCCTTATTCTTACTGCTTTGCTTCTGAAGGTATTTTTCCTTCCAATGGAGTAAATGAAAACAAGTACGATTATTGATTTGAATACACAACTAGTCAAATGTTTATAAATAATATTTAATTTTTGAGACAGCCAAAATTATTATTCTCCTTGAAAGTGAGGACAGCACTAATAGATCATAATGTAAACCATAGCTATTCATACTAGCTTCCCCACTGTAACTTCTTTGACATAAGTGTTTATAATAAACCAAGATTACCAACAATTCAGCCAAAGAAAGCTTCTCTCAGCACCATGTGAGGCAAGGGAAAAATCAGTCTTTTGAACTGTATGATTTCTTTTTTTGTAATTTTAGTGTCTTCATATGAAAAGGCAGTTTATAGATATGTGGATAGAGAGATAACATGTCTTAACAGAATGGTAGTATAAAGAATAGGGCCAAATTCATAATTTATACCACCTCTGAGTCTGTTACCTTATTCTTACTATCTAATCAGTGCTGAGGTGCCCCTCGTGCTCCATGTATTAGAAGTCAATGAGTAGACTGAATTAAAATGTATATAATTCCTGGAATTATTCTTTTTTACAATACCAGTAATTGATTTCCTCTTTAGGTTTTAGACAAACTTGGAGCAGCTTTTGCTGAGAAAGTAAAGCCCCAACTGAGGAATCCTAAACAAAGACAAATGATTTTTCATCTCCTTGGCCAGCATTTCGTTAAAAAATATTTTAGCGAATATCCTAATCAACCTAGTCTACTGGTAAGTGAGTAATGGGAGTTTAGTGGTAAAAGCTTGGTGTATAGAAGATGATAAAGATGGCATATTTGTATATATTCATACCATAAAGTAAAATTGATTATTTTGTTCTCAGTTATAAAGTTATATTTTTAAATTTTGAGTGTACTTCATTGATCCAAAATAATATATATTATAGATCTATATAGATAGACATATCTATCTATAGATATCTTCTAACTTTACTGTAATAGACTTTTAATCTTTTTTTTCCTCCTCTTTAGAAATGTGAAAGGAAAACAACATGATGGCTGAGCATGAACGTTTTTTTTATTTGCAACTGTGGTTCATGTCCAGCTTAAATGGGGTATCAGACTCTCAGAAAAGACTGATCCTTTAGTCCTAACTCAGAAAAACGCTCATTTACATTATGATTTCATGGTTAAAGGAGTCTGACTTTCCTGGCTCTGCTAATGATAAGTCACGATCATCACTGGGGATGATACTGCAGTTACTTCATGAATTGTATTTCAGTTACCTGCATTTGTTTTCTGTTCTATTGTTTTTCTGCTTTTTTTGTGGGTAGGTGGGGTATATCCTAGATATTTAAAATAGTAACCTATGAGACCAAGGCAGAATAAGACCCTCACATGGAGAGGATGTTTGTCACATTTTATGTCAAGAAGAAAGATACATACTGAGAAGTAAACATGACTGGATATTCTTTCTGGGGAAAAAGAAGAACACTCCTGAAAGGGGAGAATTAAATATTTTGTGTGAAAAAGGTACTTAGAAATGTGTGATACATTTTACTGAGGGCTAAGAAATTCAAGGACATAAAAACTTCACTCCATGTTCACTGGCACCAGTCTTCTTTCCAAGTGACTGACATAAGGCACAGCTCGCTAGCAAATTGTCTCTATTAAATCATCCTTTCTTAATATGATAAATAACTATCTTGGCTCCCACGGCAAAAAATGACAAGAACCATTTAAAAAAGATGTGATGTTATTGTGAGAATCCAAATTTCTGTTCCTAGTCTTCAACAAACATGAGTGAGCGAGATTGGGAAACCTTGGAAGAAACAACAAAGATTTGGCTAAACGAACAGTGCTTAAAAGCTGCAGAGCAAGTTTGCTGTCAGTTCAGACTTGGTGAGTTAAGATATATTGGGTGTGTGTGGAAGGCAGCTCGGGTAACAAAAATACTTCCAGCCATTGCCAAATCTTTAGCAACTAAGACTTAGACTTAGCAACTAAGTCTTTGTCTAGAAAAGTGTTAAGCAGAAGATTTGAGGGACTTGAATGCAATAACCTACACTATTTTTTTATGAATAAGCCAAACTCTGATAGCACCACAAAAATAACATGTCAGAATCTGGTTCCTGCTCTGACTGCTTGCATTCTGGTTATGCAAAACAAGCAGAGCAAGCAGATCTAGTCTGCTAAGTTTCCTTCTGCACTGGAAAAACTTCTGCTGTCAAGAAGTGAGTTTAACAACTCCCACGTCACAGACTATGCTGACAGTGCAAAGGAATTCCTCTGGCAGCGTGTGGTCTTGGTCTGTGTGCTCATTGATCTCTGGCTACCAGAATGCCTCCCAGAGGAAGTAAGTGCTGGGCACAAGAGCAACCTTCAGGCAGCTCTTGTGTGTTGGGGATCAGTCCACTCTCTGGCTGGTCCAGGATCAAGACACTGAAATAATAATACCTATATCTGATACAGTGCTTTTCATTCATACCTCTCAAAGCATTTTGCAAAGGAGATGCATATGGTTGTCCTGTCTTTGCAGATAGAAGGATGCCTAAAGCAGGCCTTTTTTTCCTCAGTTTCTTCTCCAGTCTTGCACCAAATACAACTTTGCCAAAGTAGAGAATCTTTACTTATGGCTCAGATTCATCCCTGTTCTCATTCTTACAGGGCTGAGTTTGGCCAACTGTCTAATTTACTATTATAGATGTCTTACACAGCTGCCATAGTTATCAAGCTAATTGCACTTCTGAGCCTCTCTTGGACTCTGCAGGTGCACCAGCCATCACATCTCTGTTCATTAAGTCATACGATTCTCTTGGTCTCAGGCAATGCTTTGGGCTACAGTTCCATAGCACAACCATGGCATTTTTATCAGACTCAGCATGGTTTCAATCCCCACAGTACTGTTCTTCTGGGACCTACTTGAAATAAATTATTATTTATTTAAAATAGAAGCATTTATCAGGTCTCTCTCCACCTTTCACATGAATATCCTGATAGGTCTAAGCTTTCTGCAGACACCGAGCACCTATGTCTTAAGTAATAGCCTTTTCCTTTAACACAAAAACCAGTTCCTTCCACCTGCTTCAGAAAGAGCGTACTTAAAAGCTGTTCAGAACTCCCCCACCCCCTCTTGGGAATCAAGCAACTTGTAACTATGTAGAAGACCTTTTAGTCTTTAAATCCAGTTTTGGCAAAACTAGTGTGTAGCTTTGGGCAGAAATTTGGAAGTAAACCCTTGTCCCCAAGAGGTTTACCGGGAGGATTGTCATAGCCATAGTGTTGCTTTCTTGCTTGTTTTTCTAAAAGCTTCCTATTAACCTAGGCCAGTACATTCATACAGGAAAGTCCAATAGCCCAATGTATTTATGCAGTAACCTTGCTTAAGTAAGACCTAGTGGTTACATGTCCTATTGATTAAATTATTATGTATCAGTATTCTTGGAACATCAGCAGTGCCATATTAACTGAAGGAGAAGCTCTCATTTTCATTAATATGTTTCACTTTTCACTTTAAAATTTAAGTCACTCTGTGTGACACTGTTTCCCACCATTGGCCCTGATCCTGTAGTGAGTTCTGTAGAGGCAGACCCCTGTACCTAGGTGGAGCATCAGCTTTGGCTGATCAGTTTGTATGCAAATGCAGGGAGGTATTGTGCAGACTCATTGTAGAACAGGGGCCACGGTGCTTATTGTCTGTTGTTGTTGAGTGTTATATGAGTTCATTATGACTTGTTATAAAAAAAAAAAGCAGCAGCAATTTAATACATCTGAAAAGAAGAGAACATAAAAATGAAAGGAAGTATTTATGGCAATAACATTGTCACTGCATCTTAGTAGTAATTACAGTTTACCACAGGAAAGTCCTGCTGTTTTGAAATTGACTTTTCATCCTAGGAAACCTGAAAAATGCTGTCCTAGTTAGTGCTTCTGTAACTCTTAATGGATCTAGAAATTAAACAGCTACAGGATTCCTTCTTTCTGTGTATGCCCCTGAATATATTTGTCTGTATATAAAAATATTCTCTCTTTACTTAAGTTCATGTTTTGAAAGGTATCTGGGTGCCTAACTCCCATTGAAATCAATGTCTAATACCTGAACATTTTTTACATCTGGCTCTTAGGGTTTATATATGTGTTTGAATTAAATAGAATTTTTGTAAAGTTAAATGAAACCTTGAATTCTTACAAATATCATAATAGTGACTTTATTTTTCTCGCTTAAATACTTACTTTTTAAAGAAATGTCTAACTAATTACACTAAATTGGTATTGCAACCTGCTACTTGATCATAAAAGTCATTCTTAGGGAGTTTTGGGTTGGAAGATGCAGTGTTACTTGACTTGTTTTAAATTTGTTGTTTGACTTTTGAACCTGATTTTCCACTACCTTGACATTTCTGTGTTCATTTAAACTGTGCCAAATGAGAGAAATGTGAGGCACAGCATTACAAAACAGAGTTCTCCATTTATGTACAACACTGGTAGCATTTGATTTCCAATCTGTATTTGTTTTGCCCAGGTGTAAGCTTTTATGCAGATTGCTAGGGAGTGGAGAATAAGCTCCTTTTGTACTTGACTCTGTATTGCCATCTGTGGGAGTTTGAGTATGGAAGAAATAGAAGAGCCAGGGCTTGATATTTATAATTTGCTTAGAAAATTAATTCAAATTATGTTTTCCACACAGTAGATAATAACTTTGCCAGACTGGCTCCAGAAATGGTGCATTTTCTTAATGATACGTACAACATTGTAGCAACAGAGATGGAGTTGCTGTTGGCTGCACATGAATCACGGCAAAAGGTAGCCTGTTCTTCCTTCCATTGTATTTTTTTGACTATAACATCTTTAGCACATTTTTTTTCAATATTCTTCTAGCAAACGCAAAACCATATCCTCTTTTATAGTGGATGTAAACTGAAGATCTCTTGATGAACATTCAAAATTGTAAATTAAGTTTGTAAATAGAACTCAATTTACTAATTTTTGCATTCATAGGAAGAAGATTCATTTGATCATCAGTCTTCATTGGAACAGAGCTCTAACCAGGAATCAGTTGCGAAGAAAAGCCCAAATTCTGTTGAAAGCAAAGGCATCGATTTAGCCGTAGTCAGAGAATCTATTTTGCAATTAAATGAAAAAGGTAAGAGTACTATGTTGTTCGGTACATCATGTTGTCTTTAGGGTACAGGACAAAAGGCAGGGCAGGGTAGCACCTTAGAGACTAATTAGTTCTGAGGGGCATAAGCTTTGCTAGGCAACAGCCTAGTTAATTAAATGCTACAACTGGACTTGCAGAAAGCAGGAGTTCTAAATATAGGGGAATTTAAATATAAAGGATGGGGGAACTAATGCTTAAAATAGCATATCCACACAGAAAAATCGGATAGTTAAATTTAAGTCAACCATAACCATCACATGCTTGGCAAATAACATTAGAAAGCAAAACAGACACCAGCAGTACCCCGCAATAGCTCTTCAGGGGTTCTGACTCAGAGTCCTTAACAACACCTGCCTCCCTATCTTCCACAGCAAATTCACATTATTATCATTCCCTCAGTGGCAAAGCCAACTGGTTATTTAAATACACAGTGCTTAGGGAGTGGTTGAAGTAGAAAAATGAGGATTCTTATCTGGATCACCCAAAGTATCATGATATTTACATCCAGGTTTTGATTCAGACTGTTATAACAATTGGGGAGTCTGTGAAATCCATACATAAATCCAAGCATTAATTTTGTAAGCCTTCCAAATTCTGATTTAGGGTTTTGGTTCAAGCTCATCTCTATTTGTTAAATACCAGCCACTACAGAAAGCGTTAATGTGATTTAACTGCTGTAATCAAGTTGAAAAGCAAACCTGTAAATGATACGGTAAGTACTTCCCAAAATACCAGTCCCAGGGGAAGGTAGATTGAGAGAAATTCGAAAGTATCTTGTTAAACAGAGCAACTACTTTGCTTTTGATTTTCCTGTCAGTCAAGACTGCCAAGCCCTGTCTGAAGTGTGTGATTTTTCTCCTTTATCATAACATAAAAAGTTCTCCACTTCAAACACATAGAAGTGCTCCTTCTCACGGAGCTGAGAGCTAATAGAGTTTTCCCAGCTGATGTAGAGTGTCTTCATTTATTCATTCAGACTTGAAGTAATTGGGTACAAGACCAGCAAGCATGACTACCATAGTGTGTTTTAAATGAGATTTAATTTACAACAGAATCTTCAACATTTTGCAAAATTATATGATTCATCTAAACTGTTAAGTGTTTATAATAAACTTTATCTACAGCTCTAGTTTTTATCATTGTTTGCTTTGAAGCAGATTATGATAATATATTTTATACCTTAAACAAACAATTCTACTTTAAATATCCATTTCTGTTTCTGTTTCTGTGTCTGTTGGTGTTACAGCCCTTGGTAACTTTCTTCAGGAATGGAAAAGGTGGCTACAATTCATGAGTCATTTACTATTTATATTTTCTTTTAACAGAAAAGATGCATATTGGCACTGATATACACTCATGTGTTCTAAATTGCTCAGAAAGTAATATATTAGGAAAATCTGTCTGTGCCATAATTTCAGTAGATGGTGAAACTATCTTAACAGTATGTAGAAGGCTAAGTGGAAATCTACTTCCAAAGACACTACGACAATTTATATGGACAGATAAACTCCTAAAATCAAACACAAAAATCCCCAACACTGAAAGAATAATGTAAGTATTTATTATTTTCTTTGAGTGGGGGTGGAATATTGCATTATTTTTTATTAGCCCAGGTCTATGATTTTTTGTAAGATCCATAGATTCAGAGTAATTCCTGGTTCTGTCACTGGAATTAACCCTAACATTTTTCAAACTTCTCAGAGCAGTTTGCCTTCTTCAAGAGGCCACCTTGAAATAGTAACAAAGTTTCCTTCTCAGGACTATACTAACTTCTGGTTTTTAGACTAATTAAACTGAGGTTATAGCCACCTTGCATACAGAATTTCTATAATTTTTTGGTGTCTTATGAAAGGGCCATGTTCTAGATTGGTTTAGTGTTGTTATCAATTGGCATCTTAAGCATTTCTGTCTCCACTGTATCTCAGTGCTATCTGGACATGAGGTATATTTTTTGACATTTCAGCTCAATTTTACTATGTGGCTTTTACGAATCAGATGTAGACTCAACATTCAGGGAAAATAATCATGGTTTTACCTATTCAGAAATATCGAGAGAGAAGCTAGAGTGAAATTTGGACGGACAGTGGAGCACCGAATTGCTGAACTAAAACTTAAAAGTGCTACTCAATCGCCAATTTCAGGCCTTATTGAAAATGCAGTAGTGGAGGTGAGTCAGTAGACATGTGCAAATGTCTCTTGCCCAGATTTTACAATATTTGTTTCTTCTTGCAGGTTTTCATGCTTCTTGTCCTGAGCACGTACTTTATAATAAATACGTGTTATAATGTGTTGATAATTATAATTAACTATTATAACAGTTCACAAAATGGAGCAATGTCGGTGTCTGCTTTGCGTATTTGAAAATGACTTTGCTGCTATTGAATAATTCAGTAATCCAAAGCTCGCAATAAAACAAAACATTGTTTTATCCTAAAAGTAGACTTTGTCAAAAGTTTATTGTGTATAGGAATATTATGCGAGTCAGAGACAGGAAGCTAAGCCAACATTTCCCTTGGTGCCAATACAACTACAACCCAAATAAGTAATGCTATGCATGATGCTAATATTAAGACAGTTTCTGAAGTCTCTGATGTGAGTCTGTCCTATTCTTGTCATGGCCAACACATCTTAAGCCCAGTTTGGAAGAAATGTATTTTCTCCAGAGATCAACTTCCTATTTGTTGGGCTTTAAAACTGTGTCTTTTTATTGTGAATCCTCTTTATGTAGCTGTTAGACCAAACAAAATTGCCATCTATAGCTGAATAATACAATGTAGAGCTTCTACATCCTGATTGGAACACGTATAACAATAAAACATATAGTCACACAATTGTATCTTTCTCCTTCTACAGACATTTTTTTTCAGTAAAGATATTTTTTGTCTTTCCCTTCCGCTGAACAGAAATATGACAAGACACCTTGCATGCATTATTTTGCCTCAAATGAACAAATGATTCTAGAAACCCACAAGACTTTAAATGTCCTCTATGTTTTCAATGGCACATATGAACCCTACCTGATTCACTGGCTCTTTCCTTTGCAAATGGCATTTAAGCAAACAACACCAACAGGTAAATGACTTCAAAATTAGAAAATTGCTGATGAACTGTATCACTACATTAGGACCTAAGTCTGACTTCACTTGTATTGGGGGTGTTGGCTATACCTGTGTTGGTCTAAGGACATAGGTAGTCAAATTTCTTTGGGTAAAGGTGATATTTTTTATTAGACCAACTAAATAGTTGGAAAAATTGTTCTTTACAAACTTTCTGGCACAAGCACTCTTCTTCAGGAAGAAGGAGAGTCTGTTGGTGTTTGTGTGCTCTCCTGGGTGACATAGAAGCTTAAGCCAATGTGCAAAATGCAGGTTTGTGAAAATGCAAATACGCGGCAGGAGAATATGACTTAACTTGTATAATTTTTACATTGATCTAAAACTTTAGGTCAGTTACGCCTGACCTAAACCCTAACCTTGCAAATATTTACATGCATGCTTTATTACAGTCACATGAGTAATCCCACTGGATAAATCGGACTACTTACATGTGCAGAATTAAACACACACATAAATATTTGCAGGTTCTGGGACTTACTACAAGTATGAGTTTAGAAACTGTGGGGGCCGAGGGAGGACCGAGGATCGGGAATCCTCGGGAACGCTAGCTGGGGTTGTGGCTGCAATCCCGTGGGGGGCAGATGGGTACTCTCTATCACTGGAGCGGAATTAGGCACAGAGGGGACACGTATCAGTTGGAAAAACAGAGATAGCTTTACTTACACTGTAGAGTCGTATACAGCGCAGGCAAGAAGTGACTTCACACTTCAATCGTAGTTGCAACAATTCTAATCTCTAGTTGCTAATCGAGGAGCTCTTGTAGACCAGGTAGCTCGGGTCTAATTCGGGCATGCAACACGGAGGATACGTCGTAAGGCTTCGGCAACGGGGAGTCGTTGGCAGGTGATCAAACTGCCAGAGTTCCACTCCAGGGGGAATCGCGGAGCTCTCCCACTAGGGCGGAAATGCCCCTAACCGTTTATACGGCTAGCGAGCCAATTGCCAGCCGCCACGTGGGAATAATTTAACATCGGCCAATCGTGTTATGCAAATCTGCATATCCTCGGCTGGAACTCTGTCCACGCTGGAACTCTTCACCATGCCGAGAATTCCCCTGCCTTACCGTGCCTTGTGCTGGAAAGTTCCACTGTGTCGAGGCACTAATCCAAATTAGCTCTGACAGAAACGTACCTTAATGGTAATTATATCATGGCTGCCAAGTTGCCTGATCACAAGGGAAAATCTTAATTTGAGACCCCAGTTTTCCTCGGAATCTCCTAGAGCTGGTCAGAATTTATTTAAGAAAGTGTTAAGCTAACCAGTCTTTCAGTCCTAATTTCCTTCTTTTCTGGTATTTCGGGAAGGATGAGTCTTGCTTGTTTTCAGCACAATGGGGCTTTGTTCTAGGTTGACCTCTATATTTTTAAAAACAGTATGTGACCAGTAACTGGCATTGATGGGATCTCATGAATCCTCAGTTCAGAAAAATAATGGCAGGATGTAAATCCTCAGTAAGGAGAACTTACAGGTGAGAAAAACAGGTGAATGAGGATTTTCAGGGCTTTAACATTTTTTTCTCTATTTTATTAGCTAAAAATGTTTTGTTTTGTTTTTTTTTCAGCCGAACATCCCTATGAGTTGGCTATGTACCTATATTTCCTGCATCAAAATTTATTCCCATCATGGGTAGAAATCTTTGCAATGGCTGAGTGGGTGATGAGCATTCTGGAAAGAGAAGACACTGAATTCTTTGATCATCTTCAGCAGAGCTTCAGAAAGAATATTACAATGGACCCAAAAGTACAATATATTGTATAATTGCTGAATTTGTTTTAACTATAGATATCTATATTAAAGCTATTAGCAGGCATTAAAACTAAAATGTTTGCTGTAGTAAAAGGTAACATAAAATTAGATGTTTCAATATGTTTTAGTAAATTATTAAATACACATGGTGGGGGGGGCGGTTATTTTTGGATTATTTTCTCTTGTATGTCACAATAGGAAAAACACTCCGCCTAATATGTTCTCTTCTTTCTGTAGGATTTCTTGGTAGAACTGATAGTTCAAGAAAGAGGCAAGGCTCAAGAACTGTATGCCACTGCAGATAGATCTGAGCAGAAACAGCATCTAGCCAAAGAGTTACTGGGAAGTCCAGTAATTTTCCTGAGAAAATGGATGGGTGAGGTAAGATGTCCTATTTTCTTTGATACCACAGTAGGCTTGAGAAGAATCAATCCCAGTGGGTTGTTCATTCATAGATTCATAGATGTTAGGGTCGGAAGGGACCTCAATAGATCATCGAGTCCGACCCCCTGCGTAGGCAGGAAAGAGT